AACATTTAGGGTTTTTTTTTTTATTTTTTTTATTTTTATGTTCATTGAACCATTTCTACAACTCCAATTATTATAAAATTCAGTAGAGAGGAATGTTTCTTTTGTGAACAGATGTAATTCTAATTGAGTTAAATTTGAAGAAACTTCCTTCAATAAACTTACATTTACAGAAAATTTAAAAACACGTGGAAGTTCAGAGAGGGAATATGAAGAGCCTTCCCGTCAACGGTGGGTCCGAAGTCCTAAAACGAGAGTCTCGGTATCAAAGTTTACCGTCCTTACCGCTAAACGCGTCCCTCCAATGATTCCATTTCTTCCCTGTCAACCCTCGAATTTACAAATTCCAGATAAACACAAAAATAAATTAAAATCAAAATAATCACACACACACACACAGAGAAAACAGATCATCACGCGCCAATTCGATCCAGCTTCCGCACCGGAATCTTGTAGAACAATGGATCCGCCCAAGCCCACCACCGAGGCCGACGCCAAAACGCACACTCCGGCCGCCCAGGATCCGAACCCGAAAGCCGCAGCCCAAGCTCCGAACGGGGATAGGAACTGGGCGAGCTTCGTGACGGCCTCGCAGGCTCAGGCTCAACCGACTTCGACGGAGGCGGTCTCCACCCCCACGGGTTCGGGGTCGAAGAAATCGGTTCATTGGAACCCGGAATTGGTGTCGGAGTCCCACAATACTGCCGCTGCGTCGGATCATTCTTCCCATCAGGGATCCAATCCCTACGTGGCTCCCTCCCCTATGCTCTCACAATCTTTCTCATTCAAAGGTCAGTATCCGTGCTTCCGTATTTTCATACGTATTTTTATATGTATTTTCATTCGTATATAGATTTGAAGATTGTGTATTAGTATTTGATGTGTATGCGTGCATGGTTAGATTCGGTGGACACTGTACGGAACGTGTTTGGGAGATGGAGGAAGTCGGTGGGGGAGGCTACTAAGAAGGCGGAGGATCTCGCTGGAAACACGTGGCAGCACTGTGAGTTTCTGCTTGTTTTTTGTTTCTTCTTTTTCTTGTTGATCTCTGCTGATTTACTATATTTCAATTAATTTGAATGTATATATATTTCGAAATCATGGGAATTGTATTAAGATTAGGTTCGAATCGGCGTAGTTGGTTGTTTTGTTAATTGCCATTTAATGGTTTTGGTGGATTACTATCATTGATTTCTTACAGATTTATTTAGGGGTTCACATTTCAATTTTTTTACGCCTTACTCGTTGCTGGTTATTCGGATTAAGTACAGGTGTGTGTGTTCTAATTGTATTTGGTAGATCTTTTGTTTGACATGAGAATCAAAAGTTAAAATTTGGGAGGAAGATTAGCCAAAATTCTTATAAAACGCTTAGCGAGGTGCTTGAAAGTTGTTAAGTACATTATGGTTTTTAGTACCAACCTCTAGTTTTTCTAACCGTTTGAACTTAATCCCATCGAATGCTTTTGTTTTGTTCACACTGAATGCCCAGAAAAATGTCTACTTTCGTGAGAGAAAATGGGATTGCAATCTACTTGATCTCCCCAATTTGTTTTTCTCTGTTTATCTTACCACTTTCTATGTTTTAGAATTTAGTTTGTGCATTTTGTTGATCCTAAGCATTGATTGTGATGGATGAAGTCAATAATCATCCCGTTTTCTTTCAAGCTAGTAAAAACAAGCCCCAGTTTCGCTGACGCTGCCATGGGAAGAATTGCACAAGGAACAAAGGTCCTTGCAGAAGGTGGTTACGAGAAGATCTTTCGATCAACTTTTGAGACAACTCCCGAGGAGCAACTTCAAAATTCATTTGCATGCTACTTGTCCACATCAGCTGGTCCAGTCATGGGAGTTTTATATGTTTCTACTGCAAAACTTGCCTATTGTAGTGATAATCCCATTTCATACAAAGCTGAGAGCCAAACTGAATGGAGCTATTACAAGGTAAGTTTGCACATGCCTTACTATTGTGTCGTTTGAAGTTTTTTCAATTATGGGATTTCATTTAACTAGCAACTATGTTGAAGGATGCATTATTGAGTAATTTGTAGTTTTTTAAATTAGAAAATATTGATAGTTTTTCGTATTAGAAAATCGTGCAACTAGCCATCTTGGGGAAATACACTGTTGTGTTCTAATTTGACTGTGACTTTTTGTCTAAGTAGTGAAGGAACATAGATTTGACAATGATAGGACTATATAACTTTTGTTCTGGTGTAATTCTATTGGAGCTTGTGAACCTCTGTTCTGCAAGTATTTCTAGTCCATTTCAACTTTGTTTACAGAAAGTCTTCAAGACTCTTACTAAAAAAGAAATAGATGTTGCATAGAGTTGGGCAAGTGCCGAGTCTGGAATGGATGTTCAAAAGGAAGTTTGTCTCGAGGGGCATGCATAAGAATAACATGCTAGATCCCAATGGATGAGCAGCATTTTTTTGTTTGCAAGTTAGACACTTAAATCTTCAACATGATTTGTGTTATAGAATTTCGGGTTTGATAGTTTGGTTCTGTACTTTTGTTCTTTTCAACTTCAGTGAACTTGTGATCTTCATTATTTCAACATTGTTGAAGGTTTTGGCTAGATTAGCAAGTGAATTCACCTATAAATAATTACCACGTTGCAGGTAGGATTGATGTTTTAGTATATCGGGGGAGGCTATAGTAAATAATTATGCTCTGTTTTCTTATGTTCTCCCTTTTATGATGAAGGTGTGATAAAATAGGGTAAATTGCGGTTTGATCCCCCTGAATTATCGCCCCAGTTGAAATTAACCCCCTAAACTATTTTTTTTTTGGTAAACTAACCTCTAAACTATTTAAAATCAGTCAATTAACCCCTTGCCGTTAGATTGCGGAATCAATTCCATCAAATTCAAGGGCAAATTAGTCATTTCATCATCAATTGTTACTTGTCAGCTATGACCACCAATAAAATTTTGACACATGGACAGAGAATAATTTAAAAACATATAGCATAATAAGAAACATAAAAAAACAAAATGTTTACATGACAGACCATCTCACATTATCATTACACATTATTTTGTTTTCACATGTCATAGTCTCATTGGTGGTTATAGTTGACAAGTAAGAACTGATGAACGAAAGACTAATTTTCCTTTGAATTTGACGAAATAGTGGATGGAATCTACTAATAAGGGGTCAATTGGCTGATTTCAAAAAGTTCAGGGGGTTAATTTACCAAAAAAATAGTTTAGGAGGTCAATTTCAACTGGAGTAATAGTTCAAGGGATCAAATGATAGTTTACCCTATAAAATATGCTGAGTCGCACAACTGCTGGTGGTAGTATTTCTGTAGTCATATCATGTTTGTACTTTTATATGTGTTGTGTTGTGTTATGATTCGTGAAAAGAAAGACGAGGAACAACTTTGCAGATTGCATTGGCAGAAGGAAACTAGGGAGTGGGGTAAATTTCAGGAGTGTTAATGCTATCTTGTAGAAATGTTTTGTTTATTTTATCTCGATGATATGTGGTCTATTAGACTTTATACTTGTTTATCCTATTCTTTTACATAATAGTTTTGGTGACTTAGTGTTTTCAGAAGATATTACGTTCTAATTCTGAGTTTTTGTTTGTCCTTGGTTAACGAGTTTTTATCTGTTATTTGAACTAATTTCCCATTACTCTCGAATATTAATAGGTGGTTATCCCGTTACATCAGCTTAAAGCAGTTAATCCTTCATCAAGTAGATCCAATCCTGCTGAAAAGTACATTCAGGTTATCTCCGTCGATAACCATGAGTTCTGGTTTATGGGATTCTTAAATTACGATGGCGCAGCCAACTGCCTACAAGAAGCTCTCCATGCGCGGAGCTCATCGGTTTGATAAATTCTTTGCGGCACAGAATTTTTTTTCCTTTTTTGCATCGTAAGATATTTTATAACTGATAAATTTATAGATTAAATTATTTGACATTGTACGATCTTGACCTTTTGGTTATGTATGCTACACTTCTGAATTTTGTTTAAAGTCGTGTGAAAATTAGATCAAGTAATATTACATTTTCCATAAGATTGTACTTCTCGAGGAGTATGGCTGGAATGATGTTCAGGGTTATTGCTGCTTTTTTTAGTCTATACAAAGGAAAAATATGTCCCTACCCGATGTTACTGTCGTACCCTTCCTATCTCTCAATTACACGACGGATAGGAAGAAGGGTAAGCAGTCGCACCGGCACGGAAGTTTCTTTCATATGGTGTATGGTGTATGGTGGTTCTGTATGTACATAATTGACGTGAAACTTCCAAATCGCATAAAATCTTATAAAATTTTAGTACCTGATGGGAGGCGTTACATTTTGGGTAATGGTAAGAAGATTATATTTGGTAAACCACGTTGTAACATTATAGTAATAGGGGTATGACCAAGTAATACAAGTATGCTATATATCTATTAGAGAGGTGGTATAATATCGTCTACCATCTCTCTGGCATTTTCCATTACTTAATAAACACATCCTTTGATTTATCGGCACGCCAATTAGAACATGGGGCCGAAGCTCTTGCAATTGAAAAACTATGAAGCATTAATATGATTAAATTCGACATGGGCTGCATGAGCCCCATCAGTTAACTAGATAAATTGATAAGTCTAGCATTCCTGACCCACCAGGCTAAATTGGTAGTTTCTTGGTTACCATCGGTTAAAATTAAAGTTCTCTTAAAGAGCATTTTCATAGAGTAAAACCTTCTCATAAGATATAAGGTTTTTATAAGGCTGATCTATCTTCAGCTACACGAATTCCTTGAGAAACGAAGTCATAGGCACGTAAGTTCATGGCCATATCGACTATTCCAAGAGAACTCATCCATAAACTGGTTACTGGTACAAGTAACATTGAAAAATATAATTAACGTTTATTGGAAAAAGCAACCCCAATGATTTGGACCGAACTAGAAGAAACTACCAACATAAAACAATAACACAAAGAAATCCAAAGCAATTAATATATATATATATATATATTTGTTTTTCCTTCCTTGAACCAATAATTGGACATTTGCATGCCTAAACATCATAAGAACCCTAATAATTGGACCTTATGCCAGAATAAGAAATATCAACAAAAACCCCTAAAATAAACCTTCGTAAGGACAACATTTATACAGACCTTGTAACGGCGGTCCGCTGTCTCGGTACTGCCTTTTTCTTCTCTTGATGGCTTCGGACACTGCCGGAAACCTTCTTGAATTGATGGCGAAGCAAAGGCTCCCATTCAACACATTCCGAAAAACCCACACTGTCACAAAATCAATCTTCTCAACCAACCCGCGATCCTGACGAAAACTGTTCCAGCCTCCAGTGAGGACATTAATCTTGGACATCCAAGTTTTGAACACCATGGGGTACTCTTTACCATCCATGTCATAAATTGTGACATGAACGCCTTGGTTAGGGTCTTCGCCGTCCTTAAACAATGGGAAGATGTGATTTTCGACATCTTCTTTGCTCATCGAGAGCCTAGATTGGTCATCCCTCACATCACTACTTGTCAGTTGTTTCTCAAAAGGCTTGCTATGAACTTGAATCAAGGGTCGTAGACTTGGGACTGGTGGGAGATCAGGAGGGGCATAGTTTCCATAGAACAAGCCTTGAATTCCATGTAGTTGTGGTTCTCCCAACATCATAGTTTTCTTAACTTCTAGAGAGCAAAAGAAAACAAATTTCTTAGCCGATTGTTTGAAGATTTTCAAAAGTTGTTAATGTTTGGGATATAGGAAGGAAAAAGAACAAGAGGGTTAAAAAGGACCTAAAAGTTAGGGTTTCTGGGCTGTTTACTTCAGTTTCAAGTAACCCATTGGGTATAGGAATCAGAATATATTTGGCAAGTTTTTTTCGGAGCCAATGAGAGGGTACGTATGGAAAACAATAGGATTTTCTTTAATGTTGTATAGGGATTCTTACTCTTTAATTTGATTTTGTACAAGATTGTAGTCCTTGCAATTGGATTTCCGATCCAAGAAAAATAGTCTCCCATTGGATTGTTACTTGGAAAGGACGTAGGCCTCAATTTGTGGTTCCATTAGTTACAAATTTGTCAGGCCCAAGGAGGAACCTATAAGGTACCATAGGGATGAAAAAGCCCAAACTAAATCATTATTAGTTGTTGGGGCCTTGATTGAATGAAACTTAACAAATCTCTATCTTATTCAGCGTGAAATAAGTCACTCGTAAGTGAAAGAGAAATTGACCAACTAAAATAGATAACATTCAGGCTATTTAGTGAGAAACAATTGCCATCGAATGTGCAAATTCTCAATTACGCACAACTACTTAAATTTGCATCTCTACATTTTTTTCTTCTGTTTCTTATGTAATTGATGTATATCTTGTCCTACATCAATGGTTAGAATGAGATTCAGACTTCTTGCTATTATGCTCATGTGATGGTTCATGTATACACAAATTATGTAGAGACTCAAGATGCCTTTCTTAACAACACAAATTATGTAGCCACTTAGTACTATGGTCTGGTGATATTCCTTTTCACCTAGAGTGAGAGGTCTTAGATTCGAATATCGTGGATGACAAATTCAACATCAAATTAGGCTGCTCATTGTGTGATTTTATCGAACTCCTCCTCCCCTTAATGTAAAAATGTCAATGTACTAAAAAAAACATAAACATGAGGTTTAACGTACATATAAGTTGAGACAAAACTTAAGAGATGCTTATGTTGTGTTTCCAAGAGGGGCTTTAAAGCTACAAAAACTCATGCAATTAGCAGTTAAACCATTCAATGCATGTTGTATTTGATCCAGCCATGTTTTCAGTGTGAGACTTTATTATTCTTTAACATGATCTACAAAAATAAGATAAAATGACCCGAAGGTGAGGGAACTTTCAAGCGACACCTTTAATGTCGTTATGTTTTGGTAATGGAATTGTAGTTCATTAGTAATTTGGTACTATTCTTGTTGTGCATTTTCAAAATTGAGTCCAAAATTTCTTTGAATTTTAAAGTCTGGCATCCAAACGTAGCATGACGAAATTTTAGGATCACAATAATCTAGATCCTTTTATAAGATAAGGGTCTATCTGATAATCATTTCATTTATTTTTCTTCAATTTTTAGCATTTAGCTTTTAACTTTTAATTTTTATTATAAAATTTTGAAAATTTGAAACTTCTTTGATAAATGATATCAGTTTTTCAAATTTTTTTTTTTTAAAACTATTTAAGAGTTGATTCCTTAACTTTTTTAAGTTTTATTTTTGAGAAATGTCAAGGGACTTTATCAAAAGTGAGGCTTTTTATAGACTCTCTGCCAAATCAAAGTTTAACATCAATTTCTGTATCAACATTATAAAATATTGTGTTAAAAAACATGAAGTGGCATAGAGACCATAGAGAGTTTCACTTTTGAGAGAATTCCTTGAGCATTTATCTTTATTCTTATGTAGAATTTGAAAACGAATTTTTATCATACAATGAAACATCATGGTAGAACAAGTCTGAAGTAAATCTTTATTGAATCTTTTGAAGTTGAGTGCGTTTTTGCTCACCATCATAAACTATGGTGTCTGCTCCCCATACACCTTAAATTCTACCACGTATTGTTTTGGCTAACCATGATTAATTTCTATACTAAATGTTCCTTTTCTTTTTTTTTTTAATTTTGAAAAATATAAAAAAATAATAATTTCTATATTAAATGAACCCAAAGTTTCTTATATATTGAGATCTACGACAAATTTTGTTCAAGAAGAAGAAACACTAGAGCCAAATATTTGATATCTATGAGAATTAATAAGTACAAATCAGCCATGATGTAGCACATTTGCCTTGCACGCAATCAATCAAAAGTTTGGAATCACCTCACTCGCATGAATTACTCTGAGTAACCATCACTAATTACACTGTAAAAATGTGGATGAATAAATTAGTTTCAAATTCATTATTAATAAGATTCAAACTTAAAATTTTTCACTTACAGGTAAAGAAGAAGGTTATTGAATTGTAATACGAAATAATAGCATGTTTTCTAGCTTATTGGTCTTCACTTACTTATGATTCAAGAAAAGGCCGGCCTCGATACTTGTAGGTCTTCACCGTTGACACGAGATGATCATGGTGATTATGCGAGTGGGGCTGGGCATCAAATGTGCTTTTTCTCTCTTTCGGCATTGATGATTCCTACAAATCCTACTTTGATCATTCTAATTATTGGCCCTATAATGTCCAAATCAAAACATCTTCAAACATTAAACTGTTTACAAACATGCTTACATAATAGATTAGATTTAGATTATATCACATTTGCACGCGCAACTATCTTGTCTTAAGATTTCATTTCACCCTATAATTCGACCTTAAAGTCGGATTAAAGCTATTGCGGTCAGATTACACAAATTAGAAATGTCTTGTCTTAGGATTTCATTTCACCCTATAATTCGACCTCAGATTAAAGCAATTGCAATTATATTACACACATTAGAAATCTTTTTTGTCTAGTTAAAACATAACATGTATTATGGAATGTTGCTTCATTTCATTACGTTTCAACAAAACAATGTATTCTAACTAATCAATCTACATGCACATGATCAGTCAATTAAGTGGCATCCGATCACTTTGTTGGAGAATATATCAAGTTCGACTTATACGAAGTATTGATGACTAAGTAACCAGCTTAATACTAGTTGCGGCTTATTGTAAGTTATTTAGTGGACTAAAGACCCTTGTAAATAGTTATTTTTCTCGTCTATTACACCATTGCTCAAATACGATGATTTTTCTTCTTTTTTATTTTCCAAGAGTTTGCCTTCAGCAATTCAACTTACCAAGTAGTTTGGTCTTTTAAACAATCTTCATCACTCGATTCCTTAGAGTCAATCTTCACTATTTATTTTTGAACTACTCAATAGTTAATAGTTTCATATTACTGAAGAAAATTTGCTGACTCATTTGGAAGTGCTTTTAAATGAATGAAAGCGCTTTTAAAGAAAATATTTTTGAGTTTCAAAAACACTTTAAGTACTTTTTAAGGATTCACTTGCATTTTTGCTAAAGATTGGTTCCAAAAGTATGTTCACTAAAAGCTCTTTTAGTTATTTTCAAGGTTCTAAAAGACGGTAGACACTAGTCAAGCGGCGGGTTAGGGTTTAGCACCTAGGTGCCTAGGCGGGCGCTTGGCAGACTAGATAGATTTAAGTATATGTATTATATATCATATAAATAAATGTTTACTTATACTGAAAAAAAATACATAAGTTCATTGGAATACATATTGCAAAATATAATGAAATTTAAATTATAAAGTATTAGAACATCATGAAAACATAGGGAAAAAAACATATAATGTGTGTTCATCTAAGTATTCAACAAGTCTCTTACAATTTATTAAAAAAATAAAACGCAAAATGAAGGTTATCTATTTTCTGTCTAAGTAAGAATCGACCTAGGTAAGTGGCTAGGCTAGTCTAGGCGGGCACCTAGGTGGTCTAGGTGGGTGCCTAAGCAGATCTAGGCGCCTTTTTTTTTATTTTTCAAAGGCCTAGGAATTAATTGGAGCGGTGACTGGTACCCTAACACCTAGACATGAATCCTTAAAATAATAATTATTTTAAAAGCACTTTCAAACAAGCTTCATAGCGCAAGGTGTGAGCCTACGTGCTGCATCAAATCCAATGTATATCCCAGTGATCTCTACGTCAATCAATAAGACAGCTGATCATTCTTGTGTTGAACTAATTAAAGGGTGGGGAGGCCAAAGGGGATTAGTAATGATCTTGCTTTGTCTTTGTAGAGCGGAGTTATGCATCAAATATATAATTGAATTACAATTACGGAATACTTTGATGTTTATCAAATATTGGGTAATCAAAAAGTTGGTGGGACCCACACGGATTTTGAAATCTAACTCCAAAATTTAGAAGTAATAGACTCTCATCATTTAGGTGGTATTTGAATTTCAGGTTGTAGTGGGAATAATAATAGATTTTCTTCCATTATACCCGCACTTATTTCTAAAATATCAAGATTGGCCTTCGTATTAACCCAACACCGCCAATCACTACTAGAGCCTCTATCCAACGGCCATCCCCCCCCCCCCCTCTCTTACCATCGCATCCACCCTCCTTAGCGCCACAACCCAGACTCACTGCAATCACTCCCCACTATCTCTCTCTGTTTGTCCTTAAGAACCGGAAAATCTTGAAATCAAATGTACTGGACTTACGAGAAAAGTAGAGGAAAAAAAGAAGAAAGACAAAGTTACGATGGGTTCTGTGTGATGAGTTTGCCATCAGATGAAGGATAGTGATATTCACACTCATTTTATCTCTCATACAACTTTAATAATTTTTTTTTATTAATCTACTTCAACTTATTTAGTCCAGGTAAAAAATTAAGGGAGTGTGAGAACTAAAAATGGGTGTGTAAATAGCATTACCCAATGAATTGCATTTTGAAACAAAAGTGCTACTCTTATCACCTAGTTATATCATCTTTTTAATAGAGATGAGACACACATGCGTTGCGCGGGCTCTATCTCTATTAGATAAATGATACAAATGATGATACAACTAGGGGTGGATTTTTTTGCCAAATTGCCGTGCCAACCGAATTACCAACCGTGCCATACCGATTTGTGCCAAATTTTTTGTGCCAATCGGTAATGGTACGGTATTGTACCGTACCGAAATTTCTTGGTACGGTATTGGTAATGGATATCATTACCACGGTATTACCT